CCCCAAGCCCCCATGTCATCTAGAGGGACACTGGCCCCTTCCTTTGGGCTGCCACAAGGCCTGAGATGACACCATTACACCTATACTTCTGAACCAGGGTATCAACGACTCTTAAACTGTATACAGGGCCAGCAGGTGGTGTGGTAGTTAAGGTGCTGGATCCCACATGACCAACTCCACAGTTCAAGTCCTGGACCTGGTGGCTTGAAAAACACGCCAGGGTGTGTATGCTTGCATGTCCCAAATTCCAAGAGGCAAATGGAGAAGGGATTGTGACATGGCCATCATTCCTCTTTTCTCTGTCTCTCTCTCTCCAGTGAGCATATGCGCCATGTAGCAAGTCTATAAAACCCACAGAAACCTATATACATGTCCTGTGTGAGAGCCACCTGGCACAAACCAAATTTGGATGGAGGGAGACCCAAGCAGTTCTGGAAGTTCCTCAAACAATCATTACTCATCTTGTCCTGTGGCTGAAGAGGATAGTCCCAGAACCCGTGGGAACTGAGAACCTATGGATTTCATCTCTGGCTTTCCCTGGGCCACTTGTCCCCTCTCAGCTCCAGAGCCCCCTACAATGAGACGAGGAAGTGTTGGATTTTCCTCCTTTCACTTGAGGGTCTGCTCCCCTCACACATGGTCAAGATGAGTCTCTTGAATTCAGCCCTGAAACTGAGAGATGAAGTATTAGTTGCTTTTTTCACAGTTCTGGAGGCTCAAAGTTCAAGATCAAGGGACCAGCGAGATTGGTTTCTGGTAAGGCCTCTCTTTCTGGCTTGTAGATGGCCAACTTCCTGCCATGTCCTCATGTGGCCTTTTCTCTGTGCACACATGGAGAGGGGAAACTCTGGTGTCTCTTTTTATTCCCTTTATTTTTATGATAGAAGCCACATATGCATGAGAGACAGAGAGCAAGAGAGAGAGAGAGAGCACCCTTGACAGAGTCTCATTGTGCCACAACTGCCTTTCTCTAGCCCTCGAACTCCTCAGGATCCTGGGTGCCTGCACACACATTCAGATTATCTTTCAGGCCAACCTGAGATTTCAACCATGGTTGCCATATGACTTCCAGTATTGCAGGGCAATAACATTACTGCTGCACCACAGTGGCTGGGCCGTCTTCCTCTTCTTATAAGGATACCAGTCCTATCAATTGACTACTGTTCTGATTTCATTTAACTTTTTTTTTTCCTTTGGCCAGAGGGTATGTGTGCTGACCTGAGAGAGGCCGGGAAAGTGCGAAAGCACTCCCCTCCCATGGAGGATGGGCACGTTGTAATCCTCCTTAAACTCTCATTTTGGGATTTTGGGCATGCACACATGTGTGTCGAGAGTCTTTTTCAAGCTGCTGTGTCTGGGACTTGAACTGTGTAGTCAGTCATGTGGATCCAGCTGCCTTAACTACCAGACCATGGAACTGGCCTAACATTTTTTAAAAAGATTATTTATTTCTTCCATGAGAAAGAGAGAGAAAGAGCGAGTGTGAGAGCACACACACTCCCAACAGGATCTGGATACCATGATCAATTCCTAGCCTCAGCCAGCCTGAATCATGAGCATGCATGCACATGCCCAATCTATCCAAGGAGATCTTTGGACTCAAACTCAGAACCCTGTCACATGGGTCAGCCTCACAAAGCATTACATTAAAAAAAAAAAATGCCATAGGGCACATGCACTTGCTAGAGAGGGAAGGCCAGAAAGCACCACTGCCTTGGGGCACAGTCAGACTGCAATCCCTTCTCCTCCATTTAATCCTCCCTTCAGGATTTTGTGCACACATATACACATGCCTGGAGTGTTTCTCAAGCTGTTGGGACTTGAATCGCATAGTCAGCCGCATGGGATCCAGCCACCTTAACCACCATGTGACAGGCTGGCCTGAGCATTAACGTTTTACCACTGTGCCATTATCTAGCTCATTTAACCTTAATTATCTCCTTCAAGGCCCTGTTTCCAAATACAGTCACATTGTGGGGTAGGGCTTCAACATAGGAATTTGGGCTGCAGGGAGTGGGAGGTACAATTCAGTCCATAACAAACAACAAATCAAGTCCTATCTTGGCTCCTCTTCTTCATGTGCAATCCTGAGACTGGTCTGAGCAGTGAGCACGCAGAGAAGAGGAATAACACAAGCATGATCACAACCATCTTTCTTATAGACATAGAATTCTTTATTGCTTGCAAAGTATTGCACTTTTTAAAAAAAAGTTATAATTTAAACCTAAAAAGAGTTATATTTTACATACAGTAAACTTCACCCTTTTATTGTACAGTTCTCTGAGTTTTGACAAACAAAAACAGTTGGGTAACCACCACCACAGCAGTCACAGTGATCTTGTTACAACCAGAGTCAGCCAATGGCCTACCTCTGCTCTGCTTGGAGCCCTACTGGGGCTCCCCTTTCACTCAGATTAAGAGCCAAAGTCCTCACTATGGCCCATGAGTTCCTATAAGACCTCTCTGGCCCCACCTCCTAACACTGGCTCTCTTACTCACTCCGCTCCTGCCCCACTAGTTTCCTTTCTATTCCTAGATGTGTCAGACATATCCTTGCCTCAGAGCTTTTGCATGGGCTTTTTCCTGTGCCTGGATTATTCTTCCTCCAGACATACCTGTGTGGAGGTCATGCTGATTGGGAAAAGGACATTCCTAGGTTTATACTGACTGGTGTACAGACCCTCCCAGGATCACATAGTATGAGGTATGGACATTGCTGGGATCACACAGATGAGGGTATAGACAATCAGGCACCAGATCTGGGATCAGTGGTCCTGGGGTCATGCTGATAGGGGCGTAGACACTCCTGGGGTCCACTAGGGTGTGGAGACTAGGTGGTTTACAGACTGGATGTGGTCAGGTCAGATGGCAGGTCACATGGCTGAAGTCACACAGAATAGGGTGTAGTCACTCCTGAATTATCACATACTGGTTTCTCTTGGGGTCATACAGATCGGTGTATACATAAGACTGTAGTCACATAGACTGGAGTTTGGATACCTCTTAGATAACCCAGTTTGGGGTGTGGACACATGGGACCACACAGACTGAGACAGGGACATGACTGAGGACACACAAGCTGGAGAGGAGACATTATTACAGCCAAATGATTATGACACGGACATTCTCAGAGTCTCCTAGGCTTGCCTGTGGAATACCCCTGTGGTTCTATAGCTTCTGATGTGGACTCTGCTGGGGTTGCATGGCCAGCTGTAGCTATCAGCTAGATCACACAGACTGCAGGTGTGTGTGTGTGTGTAAGCTCCTTAAGTCACAAAGATTGTGGAATGGACACCTGTAGGCCCAAGACTTGGCATGGACATTGCTAGACTCATACTAGCTGGGTAGGGACATTCCTGGAGTCACATAGACCATGTCATGGACACTGCTGGGTCATACCCACTGGAGTGTAGACACCTTTCAGGACATGCAGATAGGTATAGACTACACTCCACACTCCTCTGGTCGCATTAACTAGGGAACTGACTCTCCTATGGTCCCAGACACTGGGGTACAGAGATTCCTTTGACTACATGGGTGGGGCGTGTGTCTTCCCTGGGTCACCCAGACTAGTGTGGACCCATACCAGGAGCCCCAGGTGCTGGTTTCACACTCTTCTGAGGCTACCAAGAGTAGGGTGTATACACACCATGGCCAGAGACTATGGGCTTTGGACCCCACCCGGGGCATACACACTGAGGATTAGACATTACTTCTGTCACAACTTGGGTGTGGACATTCTTGTGGTCACAGAGACTGGAGAGAGGACACTCCTGAGGTTGCTAGCCTGGAGCAAAACCGTTCCCAGAGCACCATAATCTGTGGATACCCAGACTGGAGGGTGGGTACTTCTGTGGTCATAGTCTGAGGTGTGCACACTCATGGCATCTAAGACTGGGCTGGGGAAGCTGGTTACAGATTAAGCCGTTGCCACTGCTGAATTACACAACCAGGGGTGTGGACACTCCTGGGGTCTCTCAGGCTGTCATGTGATCACGGTGGCATCCACATGGTGGTGGGTGTGGCTACACAGCCGTGGTCACAGCTTCCTGTGTGCATACTGTTGCCACACATTCCTGGGGGGTGTGCATTCCTGAGGTGTGGACATTCCTGTGGTCATGCTGACTTGGGTGAGACAACTCCTGGGTTAAATCACTGTGGTGTGGACACTCCTAGTCTGGTAGAGTGGGCTATGGAAATTCCTGGCGCCACACAGACTGGGGTGTCATTATTCTTATGGTCAGAGGCTGGAGTATAGACACATCTCTAAACATATACTCCAGAGTTTAAACTCCACATCCAACTTGGGACTGGACACTGCTTGTCAGAGACCTGAGTGTGCATGCTCCAGGGGATGTGGCAATTCCTCAGGTCACAGACCGGGATGTGGGAACTCCTGAGGTCACTGGACTGGAGAGTAGACAGAGTTTCTGAAGATAAGGGAATAAACCGCAGAAAATAGTCTGCCCATAGAGTTAGAAATTCAGGACTGTCGTCAAGGCAGACTCTCTGACTTTTAAGAGAGGGGTTCTTAACCTAAAAATTGTGTTGTGAGGAACTTTTTTGGCATCTTGTTAAGCCTGTGGGCCCCTTCACAAAGAAAACTGGCCCTCTGTATCTGTGGATTCAGTCAACTGCAAATCAAAAATAGTTGGAAAAAAGTTGGCTGCATTTGTACCGAACACGTAGACTATTTTTGTCATTATTCCCTAAACAATACAGTTATCAACAATTTACAGAGCACTTACATTGTATCAGGTATTATAAGTAATCTAGAAAGGATTTAAAATGTACGGGAGGATGTGCATAGGTTCAATGCAAATACCACACCATTTTATATAAGGGACCTGAGCATCTGTGGATTCTGGTATCTGCAGGGTGGGGGTCCTGGAACCAATTCCCCACGGATACTTAGGAAACGACTGTATTTTTTAAGAGAACACATGCACATACATGCACGCAAATACACAGGATTACAACAGAAACCAACTACATCAAAATACCAATATAACTATATATTAAACTGAAATGAAACTGGGGTGTGGTAATACATGGGCTCATCTTAGAACATCAAATTCTAAGATCTACTATCATTCAAAGTGGTGAGGAATGTGAATCCTATTTCGAGATGCCTAGAATACCGGTCATGTCATGTGAACATTAACTGACTTGTATTGGTGGGAAAAGTGCAGACACTGTTTTCACTATTGTGATTTGTTGCCAGCATTCAGAATTGAAGGTAAAACTCAATTTCAATTAAACCAGCAAAAAATAAAGATGTAATACTTTCCTCCATAAAGTTCACAGATACTTCTGACTTCTATCCAGGTTAAGAACCCCCACTTTCGGGAGAAATTCTGGACATAACTGGGACACCTCTGGGGAGGTTTAGAGGACAGGCAAGACCTCACTCAATTCCCACTGCAGTGCAATCGGACTCCTATGGTGTCATTTTCCTTGTTGTCCTCCTGTTGGTTGTGGCAGATTCCTACTCAAGTCTGTTCTGTTCAGGCCCTGTCAATGAGAAAACAAATTCATCAACCGAAGTCCCAATTTTCCTAACTATGAGCAGCTTCTGAATTATATTAGCTTGCCAACTAACCAAAGGTCAAAGCAAAATGAAGGTTTTTTTTTTTTTTTTTTTTTTTTTTTGGACGCACATGCGCCCGGCGTGAGTTTTAAGCCACAGGGTCCGGGACGCGAACCGCAGTTGACTACATGGGAATCCAGCGACATAGCCATTACACTAACTGCTGGTTCCCATAACTTTTTATTTTTGTGTCAACTAAACATACTATTTTTTTTCCTCACTTTTTCCCTCCTTCCCTTGCCCTATTACCCACCCCTAAATTACTCCTATCCATACTATTTCTAGTATTAGAAGGTATGGTAGCAGGGAGGGCTTTGCCATTTTTTTTTTTAAAATACAAATCCATTTTTATTCATTTACATTTCATTATTTTAAATCCTTGAGGGGTACAGCATCACACGGATTCTGTGTCCAATAGCCTTAGCAGGAAGGTTGCTTTGGAATTTGGCTCGAACCATGCCAGTGTTCCCATGGGCACGGGTAACCTTTCCCCAGATTACTCTGGTTTTATTTGGTTTGCCACTAGGACTCACTGTGCTGTTTTTTGCTTTGTACACATAAATACACCTCTTGCCTAAATAGAATTCCATTTCATCTCATGCATAAACACCTTCAATTTTTTTTTTTTTGGATTATCACTGTAGGGCGCATGCGCTCGCCAGACAGACAGAGAGAGACATAGAGACAGAAAGCGAGAAATCACCACCCCGGGGGGGGTTGCCCGTGCTGCAATCCCTTCTCCTCCATTCTCCTCTCGGGATCTTGGGCATGCACACACATGCCCGGCGTGAGTTTTAAGCCACCGGGTCTGGGGCACGAACCGTGGTTGACTACGTGGGAGTCCAGCGACATAGCCATTACGCTAACTGCTGATTCCCTAAACACCTTCAATTTTAAGAAGAGCTGTGTACTCCCTTTGGTTCCTGAGACCCTGCTTATAGCCAGCAAAAATGGCCTTGGACCACAGCCTTCCAGACATAGTTGCCTTTTAGAAGTCCTGGTACCAGCAGGCCTCCACAGGCTCCAAGATGGCGGAAAGAGCAAAGCAAAATGAAGTTTTAAAAAAAATATGGGGTTGGTCAGTGGTGCAGAGATGAAATGCAATGCTCCATGAGGCTCACCCACAGGAGAGAGTCTGGGGTTTGGGTTTGTTTCTAGAGGATTCCCCAAGTATGCTTGGCATGCACATGCCCATGATTCAGGGGTCATCCAGGTTGGGGTGGATCATGGGGTCACGACTCTGCTGGGGATGCTCTCTTACTCATGGAAAAATGAATAAGTAAACTTTATAATCATTATTGACTAAATGGCTAATATCTTTTTCTTAAGAATTATTTTATTTAACATTATTTTATTTATTTTTATTTGACCAGAGAGGGATGGAATGAGAGAGAAAGAGAGAAAATGAGAAAGCAAGCCACTGGGTCCAAGACTTGAAGTACAGTCGGCCATGTGGGAGTCCAGCACCGTTAACCATCACGCCACCTGCCAGCCCCAAACTGCTAATATTTTTTAAAAATTGTTTTTAATTGCCAGAGTGTGTGTGTGCTTCACGGAGATAGGAAGACAGAGGGTAAGGGAGAAGCACTCCCGAACAGGACGTGGTCATACCATAATTCCTTCTTCATTTATTAGTCTTGTCAGGATTTAGGGCACACATGCCCACATACCTGGTGTGTTTTTCAAGCCACTGGGGTCAGGGCTTAAACTGTGGTTGGCTATGTGGGATCTGGCTTTTCTTAACTAACCAGCATAGGCTGGCCCTAAAAATTTTTACTTCTTTCTTTCTTCCATGAGAGAGAAAGAATATGAATAGAGTGTGGGCAAGAATCTCGACAGGGTCTTCACGCTGTGATCTACCCCTAGTCTCAGCCAGCCTGGATCATAGCATATGTGTACCAAGCATACACAGGGTGGTCTGAGGATACAAATCCAGGATCTTTCTCATACGGGTCTAACTGTGTTACCATTATGCTGCCACCTGGTCCACAAAATTGCTAGTATTTTGTGACTTTTTTTTTTTCCTAATTTTACTGTGAACCACAGCATACAAAAAAAAATGCATAAAACATCTGTGTTCAATTTAATTAGTAACTACAAGGTGTGTTATTTTGTGTAATTGTAGAACATTCATTCTCATTGCTGTGTAGTTCTTCACTATGAATATAATTTTATGAGGATACTACAAATAGGACTGCTAGAAACATTCTAGTACTCATTTTTTACTTATTTACTTTTATTTTAAGAGGTTTTGGGGACCAGCAGGTGGCATGGTGGTTAAGGCACTGGACACTCCCACATAGCTGAGCACAGTTCAAGTCCTGGACCTGGTAGCTTGCTTTCTTATTCTGTCTCTCTCTTGTCAAAATAAATGAATGAATTCTTTTTTTTTTTTTAAAGAGGTTTTTGCATTAGAGTATGTGTGTTTGCCAGCGAGAGAGAGACAGAGACAGTGAGAAGTAAAGTGAGAAACCCCCCCCTAGGGGGATGGCCACACTACAACTCTTTTTCCTCCATCCTCCTCCTAGGATCTTGGGCACGCATGCACACATACCGGGCATGAGTTTCAAGCCACTGGGTCTGGGACTCGAACTGTGGTTGGCCATGTGGCAGGCCAACAACACAACTGCTATGCCATCTGCTGGCCCCTCTAGTAGTCATTTCTTAGAAGTAGAATTGGCCTACACCTAGCTTTAGTGTAAGGGGCCTTCAAATGGTTCATGGAATGTTTGTAAAAAACTAATCATGGTTTAGTTTTTTTGTATCAAGATAAACTATACTTTAATTCCATTTCCCATCAACATTTTGAAGCCCACTCATAGATAATGCCTAATAAATTCCCACAGTGGTTGCACCATTTTATGCTCCCAGCAACACGCACGAGGTTCCAATTGTTGCATATTCTTCCAAACATTTGGGGTTCTCAATTTTTCTAGTTTTTGGTACCTTTTCCCTAGCAGCCTTTCATGTACTTACTAGCCATTCTCATATTTTTGCTTCCTTACTGATTTATAGGATTTTTAAAAGGTTTTCGCCATAGGGCACATGCACTCACCAGAGAGACAGAGAGGGAAAGTGAAAAATCACCCCCTAAGGGGGATGGCTATACCATAATTTCTTCTCTTCCACTCTCCTCTTAGGATCCTGGCCATGCACACACACGTGCCCAGCCTGATTTCAAGCCACCAGGTCTTGGACTTAAACTATGGTCAGTGAGGTGATAATTCAGCACCTTAACAACCACACCATCTGCTGGTCCCCATTAGGACCTTTTTAATATTAAGGATACTATGTACAGAGACTGTAAATGTTTTCCCACTGTAATGTTATTTCAATTTTTTTTAAAAAGTGTCTTTTCATGGAAGATGCAGCGTGAATGCCTGCTAGGTCACTGCTGAGAAAGGACATCTCCTTTACCATGGTTTTAGCCCATCCTGCTATAGGGTAATTGGTCCTCTCACTATCCCTTACAATACTAGACACAGTGCCACCTTTGGAAGTCTGCTATTTCTTCCATCTGGAATGCTCTTCCTAGATAAATACATAGATTCCCTTCCTCAGTGCCTTCAAGTCTTTGTGTGAACATCACCTCAGTGAGGCTTTCTGTGACAATCCTTTGAATTATGCAAACTGCCATGCCTAGAATACCTGATTCTTTCTACCCTGCTTCATTTTATTTTATTTTTAGTATGCACGCATGACAATGAGACAAAGAGAGAGAGAAAGAGAGAGTGCCTCCACAAGGTCTGCTCATACTGCAATCCCCTCCCCCTGCAGTCCTCCAGCCTGTCAGATCTTGGATACTTGTGTGCATTGTTTCGGTTCTGACCAGGCTGGGGATTCGAACCAAGGGCACTATGTGGGATTTGGCTTCTCTTGAGCAGTGCATTGCCACTGCACCATGGAGCTACTCTGCTTTACTTTTTTTTTTTTTCAATTTTTCACATTCTGTATTACTTTAAAAAAATGTTTGCTATGGGGGCCAGCAGGTGACTCAGTGATTAAGGCACTAAACTCCCACATAGATGAGCAAGGTTCAAGTCCTGGACCTGGTGGCTTGAAACTTTTACCAGGTGTCTGTGCGTGTGTACATGTGAGCCCAAAATCCCAAGAGGAGAATGAAAACGGAAAGCAGCATGGCCATCCCACCCAGGGGGTGATTTCTCGCTCTCTGTCTCTGACTCTCTGGCAAGCGCATGCATTCCATGGAGGAAATCTCTTTTAAAAATTTCTATAGGGTGTGTGTTCACTGGAGAGAAACGGAGAGAGAGAGAGTGTGAGAGAGGGAAAGTGACAAAGCACCCTCTGGGAGGATGGCTAAGCTGCATGCCCTTCTCCTCCATTCTCCTCTAGGGATTTTGGGCATGCACATGCATTTGCCCAGTGTTTTTCAAGCCACTGAATCTGGGACTTGAACCACATAGTTGGTCATGTGGGATCCAGCCACTTTAACCACTGTGCAACCAGTTGGTTTCAGTATCTTGTACTACTTTCATATATTACATGTATTATATACATGTGACACAATATCTACAGTTGAATGCAAGATATACATATGTATATATATACACACACACATATATACATATATGTATATATACACATGCACACACACACACACAATGAGACTTCAATGGAATTAAAATACAAGCTTTAGTTTTTGAAGATCCTGCATACATAGTGTGTATGTGTGTAAATGCTTGCATCCATTAAGACTAATTTATTGTTATTCTCTTTTCCAAAGTAGAAGCTCTATAAGGGATGATACATTTAAATTCATATGTTGTACTTGATTGTATTGTAAAGGTATTATGTAAAAACCTGACTTCTTCATGGTGTCCCAGAGTGGGGCTTTAAGTGTGATAAGGTCATGTGGAGCCCCTATGACTGAGTTCTGGTATGTTTATAAGAGGGGAAAAGAGACTAGAACAGGCAGAAATTCACAGTCTGTCCCTCTGTTCAAGATCTTACCTTCTGCCATTTTGTGATGCCTTTGGACCTTCCACATGGCCAGGAATTTTAGTCAAATAAATCTCTATTCATTTAAATTCACCTAGTCTTTTTCTTTTTTTAAAATGAGTGTGTGTACTTGCCAGAGATACACAGAGTAAGAGAAAGCAAGAAACCACCCCCCAGGGAGACTAGCAGTTGGTGTAATGGCTATGTCAGTGGACTCCCATGTAGTCGACTGTGGTTTGAGTCCTGGACCCGGTGGCTTAAACTCATGTCGGGCACGTGTGCGTGCATGTCCAAGATCCCAAGAAGAGAAGAGACTGCAGCGTGGCCATCCCCCTGGGTGGGGGGTGATTTCTTGCTTTCTATCTCTCTGTCTCTTTCTGGTGAGTGCACGTGTCCTATAGCAAAAACCTC